GGGAGCTATAAGGGCTAGGCCAAAAAGGGTGAAAGAGTCCTAGGCGTAAGATGCCTAGGTCTAGAGCTATAGAGCTAGGGCTCTAAGCTGTGAAAGGAAGGTCCAAAAGAGCCGTCATATCATACTATGTATGTAGTATGAGCCAGTGGGCGGAAGAGAGCCGTCTGTTCCGTCACATATAATACAGATCAGATAATTTTAAATATTCTTTTTACAAACTTTAAGCTTATCACTTTAATTGTTCTAGTCAAATAGAATTATCCATTGCCCTTACAATATAAATAGAAAATCATAATAACAAAATTGATAATTATAACGAGATTACAAGCGATTTACTTATGAAAAGATGTAGAAGGTTACGCTTTTTCGAAAAAGGGGGTAATATAACAGAATAGATAACTCTTTTCTATTTATTAGCTTATATTATATATATAGTATAATACAACAGCTCTTTTGGACCTTCCTTTTACAGTTTAGAGTTTTAGTTTTATAACTCTAGACCTAGGCATTATACAATACTTATCTCTAAGACTCTTTTACTCTTCTGAGCCTAACCCTTATAGTTCCCAAATACCTGTTTATATAGTCCTTGTCACGGATTCACTACCCATTCCTAACTACACCTATCTACACCTACCTACACCTATCATGTGTACACTACCTGTCCTTAGTTAGCTCGGGCGGATGCCTTAGGTATTCACCCACTATATAGTCGGTATTGCTTCGCACGCCTCCTTCTATCCTTATCGAATACCATATATCTTATCTAGTACCCACTAGAACCTGTATTAGCCCTATGATAATATATTCAACCCTTTAAAAGGCCCTACTATCGATAACAGCCCAGCTTTGATTATACTTACTTATATATAACGATTTTAATTTGATAATTTTGATTCCGATTTCAACTTGAATCATCAAAATAGCCAATGCGACAAATTCATTGGCTATATCCAGTGATAGCAACCCTGATATACCTGCTTCTGAAACCAAAACATTTAAACCTTGATCACATATATTCATCAAGTATTCTAAGATCAATCCTATATCGCTGATATACTCACTTCTGGTACCCCTTTTCTTAATCTAATCTCACTGATCAATCTATTTAGTACAGAAGACACCGACTCCGCTGTTTAGCACTTTCTTTGAAACCTGCTTACCACACTTGAAGCTATTGCTAAAGAATGTTATATTGAGTATACAACTTGGCAGATTACTAAAGAACAATTCAATATTGAATGTATAGTTCAATCAATTATCGAAGAACAACTCAATCAGATTTGTAATGATCTTTTTGTCCAACAATATCAACTTCAAAAAACATATAACTTTGTTACCAAGATCTCTAATCAAAATTCTGCTCCAAATCCTTTTTATATTCAATCAACAGTAAAAAACCCTAAACCTTTTAAAGGTGAAAAATCAAATTTATTTATATGATAGGAGGAATATCTTTTTTGGAAGTTTGGCCTCTGACTTTGTTGGAAATATAATATAGTTTGTTTTGATATAGAAAAGAAAAAACTTGTTCATATGATTAT